TGTAAATTTTTGCTCTTTTTTAAAGTCTGTGGGCTCCCTCTTGTGGCTTTGTGGAAAATTTCAATTTCACGGAAACGCTTTTTCTCTTTAGCAATAAGGAAATCATTTCTTTTCCAATTAAAAAAACAACATACTTTTATTGCTTTTCCTTATAAAAGAAAGAGAGGGAATAAGAGGTGGAAAAGAGAGGAAAGGAACAAAATTAACTTTAATGAGAAGTCGTATTTGGTGGAAAAGTCGTATTTTATATACAATCCTGTTTTACAATAATAGCCAGCATTCCCTGAACACCTACTGTATGCTACTAGATAATGCATTCACCACATTATGCTGAAAATAAGCCTATCAGCTAGTTAGTATAATTATTTTGTGAATGTGAGACTCTGCTTTTCTTCCTCAAAGGGAACTAGTTGAGGAGACCCTGTAACTCTTTTAATATCTGTGAGTAAATGAAAAAGTAAACATCTCATATTTTCCTATTTTAAAAATGAGTTTTTGTATCAAATAATTTTTCTTAAATAAATCCTAGAGTAGAAAGTGGTTTAATTTGAAAAAAAGTGGGAATTGTTCAACAGTTAATTTCTGTTACTGTTTGTTTCTAGTTACCTGTCTCAGGAAACTTGATTGACCTTTATGGAAACCAAGGTCTGCCTCCGCCAGGCCTCACCATCAGCAACTCCTGTCCAGCCAACCTTCCCAACATAAAAAGGGAGCTCACAGGTAAGCACTTAGCAAATGTGCCTCTTACTGTGGATTTCTGTCCACTTCCTGATAAGACAAAGTTATCCATATAGTGATGTGCAAACTATATCCAACTCATGGACATAACTTTTATAGGTCCCTGCAGTGGTTAAAACATTGTACAATATTTTAAGATGGAGGATTTATACTTGAAAATCCTGTTTTTTTCAAGGAGATCTTTGAAAATTTACTGAGAATACTGGGAATCAGGGCCGCCATTACCGTATGCCACTTATCACTGTGTCTATGGTGAAGGTGCCTTTTGTGTTGGTTGTAGTAGGCAACACTTTCAGCTGTAGCTGTCTCCACCCTACGTGATATGTATGTTTCTTACCAAGCCCCTGAAGGCATTTGAGTTTGAGAACCCAGATCTGAATTTTCCTTTGACACACATTCGAGACCACAGTTGTGATAGCGTAAGAATATATTTCTTACATCTTCAGATGCCTCCTGTTATCTTTTGCTATATTGTGTGCAAAAGATTTATTATACAGAGGGAAAAAATTATAAAATGGAGCAATGGGTATTATTTGTTCTTGAGGCAAGTATGAAATTACCTGTTTCTCCACTTTGTTTAATGCTTTAGGGAAGTCATTTATTTGGTCATTAAAACATGGCAGAAACTATATTAGAACTGGCATTCTACCATGGTGAATTTTATGACCCTTACCCCACCCCTCTTTTTATTATTTGATCCTTGCATATTACTGGATTGGATGAACAGACTGAGAATATGGAATATGGATTTGGTACAGAGAATTCCTGTTCCAGTCATGTCTTAAAAATTTTTTTTTTTTTAGAAAATAAGCAGGAGAAAGATGTTTTTAAAAAACTATGGATTTGAGTGAAAAAAGGGTAATTAATAAGTAAAAACCACCCAAAACCAAAACACAAGTTGCTACCCTACCAAAAAAGAAAATTACTGCAAGACAACAACAAAAGCAAGGATATCAGGCAGGCACAGTAGCTCACACCCATAATCCCAGCACATTGGGAAGCCAAGGCAGGCAGATTGCTCGAACTCGGAAGTTCAAGGCTGCAGTGAGCTGTGACTGCACCGCTGCACTATAGCCTGGGCAAAAGGAGGGAGCCCATCCAAAACAAAGCAAACGAAACAAAACAACAACAACTTAAGAATCATTGAAGTGGAGGGTATGTAAGTCATGCTTCTGTATGAGGGAAAAAAACTAGAAAATGATTTGGATTGACCATCACAACTGAAAGAATTCAACTTCTGAATTATATATATATACGCGCACACATAGATATGCATATTATGCATATATAAATGTATGTATGCATATATATATATGCATATATGCATATATAACACTCATACAATAAATATATATGGTGTATATATATGCTTCAGTGGCTATAAGTTATGCTAAAAAGTTTTCTATTTTGAGATAAAATTCTAAATTATGATAGTGTAATGCATCAACTATCACTTCTGAAAAGGAAATAACAGAGCTTTCTGAATCTCAAGACTGGTCAAGTAACATTTTTTTTTTTTAATTCTGTTTTGCTTTGTTCTCTTTAAGGCAAAAAGTAGTCTCTTATCCCAGAGATCTCACAAGAGTTGCTATGCAAATAGAACTTTCCAAATGGAGTTGCCACCAAATGCCTCTGTATGCTATTTCTATTTTGTTTTTATAGACTCAGGCTAGTAAATAGTTGTTCCTAAGAGTTATTAGATGATTTCATTATAGCAGATTTTAACATAATCTGGCAACAACTTCTGAAAAAATGAGTTTATTCCATGAACTAGTCAGAAGATACAGAGATCCAATTTGGAAGCTTTTTTTTTTTTTTTCTGTTTTTCTTTCTTTTTTTTTTTTTTAGACAGGGTCTCACTGTGTCTCCTGGGCTGGCATGCAGTGGTATGATCACGGCTTTTTGCAACCTCAACCTCCTGGGCTCAAATGATTCTCCCACTTCAGCCTTCCAAGTAGCTGGGACTGCAAGCATGACCCACCATGCTGGACTTACTTTTTGTAAAGACCCACGCTGGTCTTGAGCTCCTGGGCTCAAGTGATCTTTCCACTTCTACTTCCCAAAGTTCTGGAATTACAGGCATGAACCACCATGCTGGGCCTCTGCTCAGGTTTTATATCAGCATGTTACAAAGGCATCAAAAAAGGACTGAAAGGGCCGGGCGCGGTGGCTCAAGCCTGTAATCCCAGCACTTTGGGAGGCCGAGGCGGGTGGATCACGAGGTCAAGAGATCGAGACAATGCTGGTCAACATGGTGAAACCCCGTCTCTACTAAAAATACAAAAAATTATCTGGGCATGGTGGCGCGTGCCTGTAATCCCAGCTACTTGGGAGGCTGAGGCAGGAGAATTGCCTGAACCCAGGAGGCGGAGGTTGCGGTGAGCCAAGA